ATCCTAAAGACGAAGAAACTAATAAGGATTGGAGTCAGCTGATAAATAGAAAAGAAGCCAGAGACCAGTTAGAAGAAACTCATGACTTGAAAGATGACTATACAACTCCTCATCCAAACCAGTCAACATCATCTCAAGTCAAACCCAGTCAAAACGTTATCATTCATTATCAATATAACTCACTTAGATAAACCCAAAAAAAAAAGCAGACTTGTGTTACATCGGAGGTAGGGTTTATGTAAAATTTCAATTCCCCAGACGAACAAACAATTAAAAACTTAGATGTAACAACAAAGGAAGAACATTTCCATTCAAACATCATCATATATCTCACCAGACCCAACATCTCTATCATCACCAAACTCAAGGTAAAGCTCGAAGATTTATAACTCTACAAACCTATTTAACTAATTAAACTAAACCTTTTGCCTTCACACCAATCAATAACTACAGAGAAACCTTATATACTCCCAATCAAATCAATGCAACTCTTAGGAAAATAAAAACTCATCAAACACAAATCCACAACAAAAACCCAGAAAGCTGAAAACTTTCAGAGAGAATATACGTTTCTGTATATTTACCTTTACAAATCCGTTGTTCAGCTCCAAGCCCAGATCCAATCTGATGAGAGAAAAATTGCAAAAAAAAGAGACAAAATTTTAAATTTACAACCTTTCCCTGAGAGACAAAGCAAAAGATGAACAGAAGCAGAGGAAAAAAAGTGACAGAGAGAGAGAGAAGAAGAAAGAGAGAATTGAATTGAAAGCTTTATTTAGAGAGAGAAGCTGATAAACAATTGAAGTCTTAGAGAGAGAAAAGAACAATCTTTTAGAGAGAGAAAAGAACAATCTTTTAGAGAGAGAGAGAGAAAGGTTGGAGGGAATGATGAGAAGCCAGGCGTGCTTATCACTAACCCACAAAAAATAATACAATCCATGGGAAAATGGGCAATTAATTCCCCAAGTATTTGAAATCGGCAGTTTTAATACTCAAGTATTGCTCGCGCAGAATTATTCCCCAACTAATAGTTGACTGCGCGAAATTAGGAATGAAATAGTCAAACCGTTAACTGGTTAACGGAAATATAACGGTTGACTATTTCGTTCCTAATTTCACACAGTCAACTATTAGTTGGGGAATAATTCTGCGCAATAAATACTTGAGTATTTAATTTGCCGATTGAAAATACTTGAGGAATTTAAAACATCAATACTTTTTAAAAATATATATAATTTAAAAGATGAAATAGATTTAAAAAAAAATAAAACGATTAACTTTATTAACGATTAACTCTATTAACTTTATTCAATATACTTAAATCCTAACACTAACGATTAACTTTATTAACGCTTTTTAAAAAAATAAAAAAAAATCTGTTTACTTTAGTTAACTTTGGTTTAGTTGTGTTCTTATAAAAAATGTTAATTTTCAGATTTTTTTTTCAGTTTTATATTATAATTATAATATAAAACTGTCTGATAATGTTTTATGTAAATTAATTATAATATAAAACTGAAAAAAAAATCTGAAAAATCACCATTTTTGATAAGAACACAACTAAACCAAAGTTAACTAAAGTAAACAGACTTTTTAATTTTTTTAAAAAGCGTTAATAAAGTTAATCGTTAGTGTTAGGATTTATGTATATTTTATAAAGTTAATAGAGATTTTAGTTTTCAAATAATAACAAAAGCACATTGTTTTCTCGGTTCGGTTTAACTCGGTCCAGTTTGGTTTGGAGTTGTTTTGATTCAGTTGGTTCGGTTTCATTCGGTTCGATATTTTTTGTCATCCCTAGTCTAAAATTGAGATCTAATTTACAACATATGATTATGTAAATGATATGAAATCATCCATATGTGATTATATAAACATGAAGTACATCAAT